AGCGCTCCCATCTGCCCCCCAAAACGTGGGAGCAACTCAGAACCCTCCCCATCCATCTGCCCATCCGGGAAAGTCAAAAGCAGTGTCATTGCCAAATCCAGAGGTGCCTGTGGAATTGATGGAGCCGGATTTCCACCCTTATTTGTCAACAAGGCTGCCTGGCCTCCCCCCGGCCCCGCAAAGCCCCCTTAATCTCCCATACAATTGCAGTTTGCTCTGCAAACAGCTTTTGGGGGGGGCCTGGCGCGGGGTCTGCATGAGAAACGGGTCATTTGGGGGTGGCCGGTGGTGCCGCGGCTAAGCCGGGAGTGAATCCCGGCATCCCGAACGCCGGATTGAAACGCTTCCGAAGCTATTGCCCTTCAATAACCCTAATCCTCGGCTCTGAACTGCGGCGGGGGGGTAACTCCTGCCCATTCTTCCCACCTTATTATCTATTGATTGACTTTTAGAAAGGGTAATAACAGAAAGAGATTGATGCTCTGAATCCCGCCCGCAGAACAAATGGAGCCGGGGGTTCATTTGCCGTGCGGGATCCGATGGATAAAGCCCAAAGCTTTGATTTAAACCCCCCCCCCCCGGCTTCTCCCCGAAGCAGAGGGCGAAGGGGTTATGGGGGGCACGGAGACAGGGATAAAGGAAGGGGGGGGGGGGGGAAGCGGGAAGCAAACAATCAGAATAGAAGCAAATCATTTCTCCTCTCTCCCTTCCCGAGATGCGCGATAAAGCCCCTGTCCCCCTTCCCCTCGCTGATAACGCCTCTCATTTCACTGCAAGGCCTAAAAATGCCATTTCTAAGCAAAACAGGGCGCTGCTTTCCCATAGACAGCTGATAAACGTCAAGGGGAGGGGGGGGTGTCTTCCTTTTTTACCTGTTTCCCCCTCATTTCCCTCTCGCTCCGCGCAGGGAAATGCCCCCGGAGCTACAAAGGCCAATCCGAGGAGCAGTGCAGTCAAAATAGGCAAGCGGTGCTTGCAGCCAACTTCCCCATTAGCATTTTGAGGGCAAATATGCAGCAATTGGAGATAATGACGCCTGATTATTCAATCCAATGAATGTTAAATAGGCCCGGGCCTTATCTCGCCCGCTTCCCATTTATTGGAGTTGAGTTTAGTTTTAATCGTTTCCCATTGGAACTCTTTATTTGTCTTGGTTTCAGCCTCACCCGCACCCCCCCCCCCCCCATTCCCTTCATCACCCTCCTGCCATTCCTGTGCTGCAAGTTGGGATTTAGTGGTGGTAAAACACCGCCAATCACTGTTGTACCTTGGGTTTAGGGGGTATTCTGCTTGTACCCCCTCAATGGAGCAAAGGGAGGTTTGGTGATGCTGTTAAATGTGGGCCGTGTGTCCATGCACTGCGTTCGGGGTGGTTCGGTGATGGGTTAGAGCTAGTGGAAGGGGTCCCTGCCCGTGGCAGGGGTTGGAGCTGGATGAGCTTTAAGGTCCCTTCCAACCCAAACCAGGTTGGGATTCTATGTTCCTATGATTCACGCTGCTGGGGCAGAGATTTGGGGTGTTGCATCCCCAACTCTTAGCACATCCTTCATCTCTTCCCCTCAATCCCAAGCTTGTTTGTGTGGGTGCTGGTGCAGTTGCTCCCACCTTGAGTCTCAGCAGCCACCATAAATCCCAGGAAGGTTTGTGCTGAAGGGACCTTAAAGCTCATCCAGTTCCAACCCTTCCACTGGAGCAGCTTGCTCCAAGCCCCTGTGTCCAACCTGGCCTTGAACACTGCCAGGGATGGGGCAGCCACAGCTTCTCTGGGCACCCTGTGCCAGCGCCTCAGCACCCTCACAGGGAAGAGCTTCCCATAAACCAAACCCAACCAGCAAAGGAGCCTTGGGGGGGGGGGGGGGATGATCCCAGCACCCACTGCCACCCCAGAGCAAAACCCAGCTCAGCATCCCACTCACCTCGCAGCTTCCCAGCATCACTCTCATCTAATCCAACTCCTTTGCAACCCCTGTGATGTGCCTTTCCCATCCCAAAGGGTCAGCTCCAGGTTGGAGAAGCCCTTGGAGGTGCACAGCATGATGGAGAGCAGCATTTTGCACCAAAAAAAAAGGGGGGGGGAAGCAAAATCATGTCATTAGCATCGTTTTCCAGCTCCTTGCTTGTGTGGCAGATGGGATTATGGGAGAGCCCTCATCTGGGATGCTGTTGCAATGATAGGAGAGGATGAGCTAAAGGGAAGGAGAAGGAGGAAGCAAAAATCAATGTTAAACACAAATCAAGGTTGAAGGGGAAAGGCAAAGTTTAAAGAAATCTTAAAATTAAAGGGGAAATTCAAGTTGAAATCCAAAATTAAAGTGGAAGCAAAAGGTAAGGCAGAATTTAACCCGTCCCAGGCTGGTGCAGGACAACGTGAAGGCACCCATAGGGCAGTGACGGCCCCAGCGCTGCTCCTAACCTGTTTTCCCTGAGATCCAAGAGGAGAATAACCAACCCCTCCTTGACTCCTGGGGTAACGAACCCCCCTCTTCATGGCTCAGGTGCAAAAGTGTCGGTTAAACCAAAGAGGTGACTCAGAAAGAGCCGGGAAGTGGGGCAGGGAAAGGTGGAGACAGAACAAGGACCCCAAATACGGGGCCGGGATGGAAAGCAGGCGAGGAGGAGATGCGGGCGAGGAGAGATAATGAGAGAGGAGGGCAAAAAAAGGGGGGAAAACCATCAAAAGAAGGCAAAATCAAGAGCAGATGCTGAGGAGGGATAAGCGGCGGCAGCGGAGCGGGGCCGGGCACCGGGCGGGTGGGATAATTGGATTTCAGTTCATCTCGGGGGCGATAAGAAATTCCCTGTGTTTTGATGCCTCTATGAAGCATATTTTAATGTCAGATTTGAATAGGGACGGGGCAGCGCATCCCTTGGGAAAACACACGGGTTCCTGAGGGGTTCTTTTCCCTATTTCCCGCAGTTGGGGGGCTTTTGGGGGTGGAATGTGGGTTATCAGCACTCAGGGTTCGGTCTCTTTGGGGCAAGGCGGAGCGGTGCAAAGCCCCCAAAGCAAGGAGATGGGGTGCAGGGAGCCGCAGCAATCCCGCAAGGACCATCAGGGCCCCCCGTGTTCCTGCATCCGAGCGGAACGGACACCCCCGGCCCCCGGGGAAGGGCTGTGAAGGTGCCCACAGCTGAAGGTGTCCGGTCGGTGTTTGATGGGAGCGATAGAGCAGAGCAGCCCGGCCCCGTCCCATTAACCGGGGCGGCCCCGGACACCGCTTATCGCGACGGCATCAGAGCCCCGGGGCCGTGACCGTGAGCACCCGACCCCCCCGTCCCGAGCTCGGAGTGAGGGGGGATCGGTGTGACCTTGCTCCAGGGGCCGGGAATGCCGGGGTTGGACGTGGAATGGCGTTATTAGGGTCAGCGGAGGGGGGTTAATGGTGTATTAGGGCTGGGGCCCCCGCAGGCATGCGGGGTGGGAAAGGCGGCTGGGAAGGGGGTGGGTGGATGGGAGCCTCGCGCCGGGAATGATGTCGGGATGTTGGGAAGCTGCTCCCGTGGGGATGTGTTCGGGGCGAAGCAGCGTGTGAGGGGCTGGGGGGGGCTGCAGTGAGTGTGCGCGGTCTGTGTCTGCACACTGTGATGGTGCGCGTGCGGACATACATGGACATACATGCACATGTATGGACACATATGCACGGACATACACACACATGTATGGGTACACAGGCACATGCACAGACACGTACACACATATGGGGACACAGGCACATGCACAGGCACACACGCACAGACATGCATGGATGCACACGCACGGACACACACATGTACCGGTGCACATGCACATACATGCACATGCACACACACACATATGGGTACACAGGCACATGCACAGACACATACTGGACTTAATGATCTTAAAGGTCTTTTGCAACTTACTCAATCCTATGATTCTATATGCATGGACAGACATGCACATGCACGGATATACATGAACAAACACACATGCACATACATGGACACACACGCACTTACATAGACACACATGCACGGACACATGCATGGACATGCACACACACGCACATACATGGACACGCATGCACGTACATGTACACACATGCACGGACATGGACACACATGCATGGACATGGACACACATGCACGGACACATATGCACATGCATGCACACACATGCACGGACATGGACACACATGCATGGACACATATGCACATACATGCACACGCATGCACATACATGGACACACATGCACATACATGGACACACATGCACGGACACATATGCACATACATGCACACACATGCACATATATGGACACACATGCACGGACACAGACACACATGCACGGACACATATGCACATACATGCACACACATGCACGGACATGGACACGCATGCACGGACACGGACACACATGCACGGACACATATGCACATACATGCACGGACATGGACACGCATGCACATACACGGACACACATGCATGGACACATATGCACATACATGCACACACACGCACATACATGGACACGCATGCACATACACGGACATACATGCACACACATGCACACACACGCACATACATGCACACACACGCACATACACGGACACACATACACGGACAAACATGCACACACATGCACACGCATGCACATGCTTGCACACGCATGCACATACATGGATACACATGCACGGACACGGACACACACGCACACACATGCACACGCATGCACATGCTTGCACACGCATGCAGGTGCGCGAGCACGTGCCCACACACGTCTCGGGGCCGGGTAACAGCAGCGAGCGAAGCAAACGGGCCGGGGGGCAAGGGGGAGGCGCGGGAGCTATCGCGACATAGCGGGGTGCGCCGTGACACCCCGCCCCCGGTACCCCCTCCCCGTGCAAGCCCCGCCCCCTGCGCGTGCCCCCCTCAGGGCGGGGCCAGCAGATGGGAGGGGGGCGTGGCCTCGGTGCGGGGGGGGGCGTGGCTCCATTCCGCTCGGGGGCGTGGCTTGTTCCGGGGCGGGCGGGGGGGGGGGGCGGGTGCCGGTGTCGCTCTCGCTGCGGCCCGGCTGCGGCAGCGGTGTCGGAGCGGGGCCCGGTCCGGCCCGGCCCGGTTCGGTCCGGTTGTGTCCGGTTGAATCCGGTTCCAGCCGGCGCCTCCCCTCCCCTCCCCTCAGCGTCCCGCCATGGCGCTGCTGCGCGCGGCCGCGCTGCCGGCCGAGGGGTCCCCGGCCTGGCTGCCCACCCATGTCCAGGTGACGGTGGTGCGGGCCCGCGGGCTGAGGTGCAAGAGCGGCGGCAAGGCGGGCACCAGCGACGCGTACACCGTGATCCAGCTGGGCCGCGAGAGGTACAGCACCTCGGTGGCCGAGAAGAGCACCGGGAGCCCCGAATGGCGCGAGGAGTGCGCCTTCGAGCTGCCCGCCGAGCCCGCGGCCTGCCCCGGCCTGCTGCTCACCGTCATGCACCGGGCCCTGGTGGGCATGGACCGCTTCCTCGGGCAGGCCCTGGTGCCGCTGGAGCCCGCCCTGCAGCAGCGCCGAGCGCCCGACGAGCGGTGAGTGAGGGCCGGGCGTCCCCCCACGGGAGTGGGGAGCAAGGCGGGGGGGGGGGGGGGAAACGGGGTCCCAGTGTGCTCAGCATGGGTGGCAGTGGGTCCCTGGGGCCCCAGGATGGGTGCTGTGGGTACCCAGTGTGCCCAAGATGGATATCAGTGGGTCCCTGCATACCCAGGATGGGTGCTGTGGGTACCCAGTGTGCCCAAGATGGATATCAGTGGGTCCCTGCATACCCAGGATGGGTGTTGTGGGGTCCTTGAGTGCTCAGGATGGGTGCTGTGGGTACCCAGTGTGCCCAAGATGGATATCAGTGGGTCCCTGCATACCCAGGATGGGTGCTGTGGGTACCCAGTGTGCCCAAGATGGATATCAGTGGGTCCCTGCATACCCAGGATGGGTGCTCTGGGGTCCCTGCATACCCAGGATGGGTGCTGTGGGTACCCAGTGTGCCCAAGATGGATATCAGTGGGTCCCTGCATACCCAGGATGGGTGCTCTGGGGTCCCTGCATACCCAGGATGGGTGCTGTGGGTACCCAGTGTGCCCAAGATGGGTGCTGTGGGTACCCAGTGTGCCCAAGATGGATATCAGTGGGTCCCTGCATACCCAGGATGGGTGCTCTGGGGTCCCTGCATACCCAGGATGGGTGCTGTGGGTACCCAGTGTGCCCAAGATGGATATCAGTGGGTCCCTGCATACCCAGGATGGGTGCTGTGGGGTTCTTGGGTGCTCAGGATGGGTGCTGTAGGGTCCCTGCTGCCCCAGGATGAGTGTCAGTGGGGTCTCTGCATGCCCAGGATGGGTGTCAGTGGGCCCATATGAGCCCCAGGATGGGTGTTGTGGGGTCCTTGAGTGCCCAGGATGGGTACTGTGGGTACCCAGTGTGCCCAAGATGGATATCAGTGGGTCCCTGCATACCCAGGATGGGTGCTGTGGGGTCCTTGAGTGCCCAGGATGGGTACTGTGGGTACCCAGTGTGCCCAAGATGGATATCAGTGGGTCCCTGCATACCCAGGATGGGTGCTGTGGGGTTCTTGGGTGCTCAGGATGGGTGCTGTAGGGTCCCTGCTGCCCCAGGATGAGTGTCAGTGGGGTCTCTGCATGCCCAGGATGGGTGTCAGTGGGCCCATATGAGCCCCAGGATGGGTGTTGTGGGGTCCTTGAGTGCTCAGGATGGGTGCTGTGGGTACCCAGTGTGACCAAGATGGATATCAGTGGGTCCCTGTATACCCAGGATGGGTGTTGTGGGGTCCTTGCTGCCCCAGGATGGATGTCAGTGGGTCCATGTGAGCCCCAAGATGGGTGTTGTGGGGTCCCAGCATGCCCAGGATGGATATCAGTGGGTCCCTGGTACCCCAGGATGGGTGTTGTGGGGTTCCAGTGTGCCCAGGATGGGTATCAGTGGGTCCCTGGTACCCCAGGATGGGTGTTGTGGGGTTCCAGTGTGCCCAGGATGGATATCAGTGGGTCCCTGGTACCCCAGGATGGGTGTTGTGGGGTTCCAGTGTGCCCAGGATGGATATCAGTGGGCCCCCAGTGTGCTGTGGGGTCTCTGCATACCCAGGATGAGCATCTTGGGGTCCATGCATGCCCCAGGAAAGGGCTTTGCAGGCTGTGCGGTGTCACAGGGTCCTTGAACACCCCAAGAAGGGTGTCCCTGCGGCCAGGGGATCACGGGCACCATGTGTGCCCCAGAAAGGGCAGTACGGGGGGGGAGCAGTGGGGCTGGGTGCGCCTCAGGGCACCATGGACCCCCTAGGGAGGGGGTCAGGGGGTGCCATGGGATCAGGCTTGCCCCACAGCAGGGGCTCTGCATGCACCAAGAAAGGTGTCACAAGGACTGGTGGGGTCCCTGGGGGAGGGTGTCCCAGGGTTTGGGGTGCCCTGAGGCCTGTGTGTGACTCAGGAAGGGCACTGCAGGCTGAGGGTATCCCAGGGCCTGTGGATGCTCCAGGAAGGACGTTGCTGGGAGTAGGACATCACGTGTGGTGTGGAGGATGGGGTGGCTCCTGTCAGCCCTGGAAGGGAATCGTGTGGGACAAGGCACAGGATCCATTCTTCCATGTGCCCCAAGGGACCTTGCTTATCCCATGAGGGTTCCGCTGGGCTCTGTCATTCCAGGGAAGCTGGGGCACGGATCCACGTTGTGCTTTGTCCTTCTGACGGCTGTGGTGGGGCTGTGACCTGATTTGTCACGGAGCTGCTGCAGGAGGCTCCCTGAGTTCAGGGGCTGAATCCCATCCCTGTGGTGCGTCCGGCAGAAATCCCTAGTGGAGGGGATTTGCTGTTCTTCCTCCTGCAGGATTTAAAGCAATAACAACATTTCCTAGCCTTTGCCAAGCGGAGAAATGTGGGAATGTGGAGGAAATTCCTTTAGAGAAGAGCTTTGCTGTGTGCCTCTGGGAGCATCCCCACCGCTCTGCCATTCCCAGACCCCAGCACAGGCTTGGAGGGGAGCCTCCTCCCCAGGGTACAGCCTGCAGAGTGGGATCAGCATGGAAAAGGCTTGGAAAAGTGGAGAGACGGGTCTCGTTTGCATCTGCAGCCCGGGGAGCATCCTGCCTGCCCTGAAATGGGGGTGTTCCCAGAGGAAACGGGACTCGAAGCCGGGAGCTGGTGTCTGAGTGTTTCCCCTGCGGCGTTCAGGTTGCTTCTCTTGGCCCTGCCTGGGCAGTGGGAGGCGGTGGAGGAGCTGGATCGGGATTCTCCAGGTCTCATTCAAACCAGGATCACGCACGGGCTTCAGGGCAGTTCTGATCCGTGGATGTTCGGGATCAGATGAGTGGTTCTGGCACTGGAACGGTTCGGGGAGCGCCGGGAGCCGGGGTAGGAGCTGCGTGTCCAGGCACGGTGTGCTGCTGTCAGCAGAGGTTGATGGAGCTGCGAAGGGTTCAGGAGCTTGAGCCCATGGGCCTGGCTCAAAGGTCTCCGTGTCAGGGGCTGTTAATCCCATGGGAACAACGTCCAGCGTGGCTGGATGCTGTCACACCATTACTGCAGCACAAGGCGGGGGTCAGGGCAGTGAGGCCAGGAGAATTCTAGGCTTTTTGCTGTCTCCTTCCCTCCCTTCCTTTAGCTTTGCTTGCGTAAGGAAAATGAACTTCCCCTCATGCTGTTAAGAGCTTTTCAGGCTCTTTATTTTCCCTTCTTTATCTCCTGGTGGAAATGAGCATGGAAAACCTGACAGGGAGCAATCGCCCTGAGCATCTCCCTTCGCTCACCCGTGAGTGGAAGCCGTTGGGAGTCTGCAGCATGGAAGGGGCTGCACTTTGTCTTGGATCAGAATCCCAAGTGCTGGAGCTTGTCCAGATGAAGCCTTGGGGACAGCCCCTGGTTCTGTGAGACCTCCATAAACTTCCAACCGCATTCCCATGCCTTCCATTGCAACCAGTTTTGTTTAGGAGGAGGATCCAGAAACAGCAAAACAGGCTCCAGGCCCACACCATGGAGCACACCCAGGTCTGTGCAGCAGAGATAACCACTGCCCACAAGTGGGGGATGCAGGACTTGAGCCGCTGCCATACACTGCTTAGGAGCCCATTTCTGCTCCTTGCTCCTGGGCACGAAGCTGCTCCCGCTTGGAATGGGATCCTGCTTCCCAAAGGCCTCACTTGGCAGTGCCCTGCCCTTGCTCTCATTTTCCTGCTCGTTTCTGTTGCATGGGAACGTGTGAGGATTTTCATCCGTGTTTTTCAGCTCCATGGAAAATGTTCCATCCAACTTGGGCTCTCCTCCAGGAAGCATCGGGGTGTTTCTGAGCTGCTCTGTTGAGCTCAGCATCTCTGCCATTACAATGTGTTGCCCAGAAGGAAATCAACTCTTGGACTCACACAGGAGCAGCCTTTTGGCCTTTTTGGGGTATGCCAAAGCTTATCCAACACTCGCCTCCAAGGCCTGGGGCTTGGCAAGCAAGGCAGCAGTGCTCAGCATCACTTCTCGTTATCCACTTGAGCTTCTAGTGCTTTTATGTACCACCCATGCCTTTTAGTGCCCAACCTCCATCCTCCTGCCTCAAACCCTCTGTGCTGTGGCTCTGCATGGGCAGGATGCTCCCGGTCCTCCTTTCTGCCTCCCATAACCTGTAGATCTCTGTCCTGCCTCATATTTTGGGAGCCCAAAGCCCAGTCCAGCAGCAGGATGAGACCACGCAATGAAATCCTTGCACAGTGGCATGGTGATGGTCACCACAACAGTGCTGCTGGCACACAGGGAGATGTGAGGACTCAGTGGATCCCCCCAAGCCGAGGGCTCATCTCAGCAGCAGAGGGTATCTCTGTGCTCCCAAGGCAGTTATCAATCACTCCTGCTCCCTGACAGCCAGGAATTGCCACTGCAGGCCCCTGCGGGGCTCATCCTGCTTTCCCTCCACAGCCATCCCTGACACAGGGTGTTTGGGATGGGTGGAAATGACTCTGTCAAAAGCTGCTGTGACCCAGAGCTTCCATCCAACACCCCTCAGGCTGTGTTATCCCCTTGGACAATGCTGTGGCATCTCTCAGGTGTGTGGTGTGGTGTGGTGGGAGCTCCATGCTGGGCATCCCACATAATGCCTTTGGCATTGGACTTTGGGCCTCGCTGTAGGGATCCCAAAGGATTTTGCTCCATGGCTGATGGTGGGAAAGGGCAGTGGATGCGTGAGGACCTCCTCTTCTTCCCTTTGAAATCCCATTTTACTTTGCTTTCTTTCCCTAAGATCTCACAATGGGAAGGGTTAAACCCTTCCAGGGAGAAGCTCTGCCAGAGCTCAGGCTACAGAGGGCAGAATTCCAGGCTTTGGAGCACTGGGATCTACTTACGGCGACTGTAAGTAGCAGAAGGAGCTGTGATCCTGGCTCTGGTGTTGCCTGCAGTGACTTGCAGTTGTTTGTTGGCTGCAGCCTTGGAACAGGAGTTACAGCCCCAAACCTCCCTATAGCACTTCCCTTTACTTCTTCCTGTCCCTTCCCAGCTGTGGAGGGGCTGGTTGCAGGGGGGATCAGGATGGCCGCAGCTCCTCTATC